AAAGTTAAAGAAATAAATAAGAAATTCGAGAAATCTGAGACTCAAAGAAAAGTAGAAAAAATTGTTATAATTTTTTTACTTACCTTATTACTGTTAGTATATATCGATCTTTTTGAATTTTCTAAAATTTTATTACAATTAGTGATTGATTCATTTTTAAGTTTGTATTCATTTTGCATTTTTTGATTCCTTAATTTTTTTTAAAAGTTTTTACATTCAATTTGCTGGGCTTTTTCTACAATATCATATTAAAATTATTCACTTTTTTAAATAAATATAAAATATATATACATTGAAAAATTTTATTTGCTAAATGTACATAAATATATTTGTTCAGTAGACCTTACTATAGTTTTTACTATAGTATCCTATCCAATTTTCAATTTTTCAGGTACGGGTTGGCAATGAAGTTCAATAGAGCTCAATGGAGCTGCGAATAAAGTCAATGGAGCTCTGAATAGGCCAATGACAACTAGTTTTTTGAGCTCCACTTGCACAACATTGAGTACTATTGGCTCCATTGCCAACCTTGCACCATGGTGATTTTACCTCTAGTCAAATTAGCAATTCCCAAATTAATTTACCAATTTGTATAACTAAATATGTATAATTAATTACCTATTAAATGCAACCATTAGTCAAATTCTTATTAAACTATAACTTGTTTTTATGATCAATAATAAAAACATTTTTATTGTATGACAATATAAGACGAAATCGGGAAAGTTAAAAGTTCATAAGTTGAATAAACAGAATTTAAGCTAAAGGATGGCAATCGGTGTAAGCAATCACTAAAGAAAAACAAAAAAAAAAAAACAAACACGAAAAAAAAAACTTAAAATGATAATGGAATAATCGTGAAATACAATTAATTGTTTCATGCTAACAATTACGTACGACCATTATAAAAAAAAATAACCATCATTCTGAATTGGTCGCTCTCGCTGCTTCCAATTTTTCCAAATCTTCGTTTTTGATGTCCATCCAACTTTTAGGAGAATAAAGCCAAAGAAATAACTCGCTAAGAGGAATTCCCGTGAATCGATCCACAATACTAAGCCTATCTGCAATTTGTGAAAACACAGCTTCTGTGTACCAACCAAGCCAATAGAATGCAAGACCCATAGGTGGAAGTTGGTCAATAGGGCCTATGTAAAGATTATCGGAGAACAATTCAAGTGGAAGTCCACGTGGAGCAGTGGTGACAGATGACAAGGATGTATTAAATCCTTTGGGGGTGAGTGGAGATTCGGATTCATCGATGTCCTGAAAGTTTTTTGAATTCTCAAATAAATTGGAACGTTGATCACTAAATTTTTCGTTGTCCGTGTTATCATTCAACTCAAGAGATGTTATCGGATCTGGAAAAAACGATATACACACGAAGTTAACAAAAGAAAATTATGCGTTGAAAAAAGATTCAATAGCTTACGTTGATTATTAGCTATTGCACTTGTATTGGCTTTATTAGGGTCCAAGATTTCTACAAAGAATAATGATAAATAAAATATTTATAAATTAAAAATCTATAAAATAAGTTCATTAAAATAACAAACTTTGCGATTCCTCATTTCTGCGGCCACTTGTGATGGATTGCAAATCATTAGAGTTATAATAATCTAGGATATTATCCTTTGGATATCCATCCCATCCTCCTTCATGTTGACCAAAATTGCTTTTTTCTTCTTCAGTCGGAGCCGTAACGTCAGATAGAGCGTTCTCGCCCGAGCCTTCGGTAATTAACGATTCAGATTCACTCGGAGGGCCAGTACTTCCGCGATTATGGAACGTTGCGGTATTGTTTTTGGGACCATTTAACGAATCGAGTTTCTGGGTCACGTGGTTGTTTTCTTGATCCACATCCACGTGATCATGGGGAGTTTTTTTGTCAATTGTTTTCTCATCAACAGTGGATTCATTACCATTCATAGCGATATTGTCTGGTGTAGTTTCGCTCACAGCTAACATAAACGTTAAGATCTATTAATATTTTTTTTTTGAACGCAATAATAACGATAAAGATTTGGATATTATATTATCTACCAGTCATATCTGATGAATTATCAGAAGCAGAAGTTTTTTTTGATTTTGATTTTCCTTGTTTATTAGTTTGTTGTTTAGTTTTTTTGCGTTTCACTGAGCTCATATCGTCAGGTTTCCTAGATTTATTGCGTCCAAGAGAAAGAAACATTTTAAATAGAAGCGAAAGAAACCAAATTTATTTGATAGTAGAATAGGTGTTTATCAAGTTATTAAAAAAAAATATGATGATAGAAATTTATCATATATTATTCAAAGTACGATAAATGACGTTATAATGCAACAATCATAACATTAAAAATATTAAAAATGATGATAATAGAAAAAACGTATAGTCAATAGAAATTAAATTTCAAAGTTTTTTTTTTTTTTTTGAGCTGTCATTTTTTTGTCTTCTGAAAGACTATTTATACTGATCTGATGGATAAATTGATTATTCGTCATGATTTTAACAGTGAAAAATGATGAAACTATCGCGTTTTCGAATAACCAATTATATCTTTATTAAAAGTCTGTATAACCATATGATGTTTACAGATCTACTTGTAACTTGTATATAATAGAATAATTAACGTTTGACATCTTTTATTATTAATCATTATCTGTTATTGCTTCTTGCTTACTATTTGAATTCGTTTACGTTAAAATGTCGTATTTATTCGATGATTGGGTTGAAATCCTTCCTCTTAACTTTATTTCTCCAATGACTATTGGGACTCTTGGACTTCGAAATCAACTGTCAGGGGTAGCAATTCCGCTTGACGTTTCAACTACACAATCTCATTACATTATTCGAGCTGATGTCCCAGGCATTCCATTATCCGATATTTCCGTAGAAGTTTCTGATACGGATGTATTAACTATTTCAACTCATCGTAAAAATGAAGTGCAAAAAAATGATAAAGATGAGGAATCTAAAATTAGTGAAAGATATTATGGGAAGTTTGTTAGAAATCTTAAATTTCCAAAGGATAGCATTGTGGCTGATGGCATTAAAGCTGAATTGGCTAATGGTGAATTGGTTATCAAAATTCCTAAAAAGAAAAATGGAAATGAAAACAAGATTATTAAAGTTTTTCAAAAAGGAAAATTGTGAATACGAATGTTTTTTTTTTTTGCAAATAGTTATGTCTACAATATTTGCAAAATTTTAAATGTTCATATATTTGTTTTAATTGCAAACATTAGTCCTTTTAACTGTTTATACATATAATTGTTGAAGAAATGTCATTTTAGGTTTCAATTCGAATAATATTGACTTCGATTTTATCGTTATGTTCATTCGAGTTTTATGCAAGAATAAATAATATATTTACTTTTAAGAGACTCTTGTGTTCGGTATTATATTTGAAGTTTTCTGAAAGAAATGAATACGAACATGGGTTACATTTGATATTGATATTAATAAAATGAAATAAAATGAAATCATCTCGTTATTGCCGATAACAGTGAGATGAATCCATAGTGGTATTATCGTTATCGTTATTTTCTATTAACTATCCCGTTGCTAACCTCTGTATAGGCACCATCACCTAGTCATATTGAATTTTTGTATTTGTATCATGCTACCCGTTGTTCAGCAACGGATCGAAGCATCTAGTAAAAAAAACATCAAATGCAACGTTATCAGCCAATCGGTGAAAGTCGTCCTATGACGTCACGATTAGGTAATAATGTAATAAAAATAACGATAACGACAATTCAACGCCAGCAAGTTTTTAACAAAATGTCACTAGAACTTTTTGATTTTACTCAAGAATCCTTGTGGATTTCTTTTGCTTCAATTTCTTTCGATCCTCTTTTTTGGAATATTGCTGCTAGAGGAGGTTGTGAAAAAATTTGTTTCTTTCGATATATTCTATATGTCCTATATTCTATATGCTAAAACAAAAAAAAAAAAAATTAAAAACTGGCAGAATATCGTACAAAATTTATAACTCGTCTTTTAGGTGGAAATCCTTACCATGGCTGTTATGCGTTAGCCATTACTATTTTCCTTGTTAGTATTGTTAATTGAAATTTTTGGTCTTTTTTTAACTTCAACATTTAATTAAATTTATTCATAATGAATCTACTTTAAAATTAACGTAGATATAAAATAGCAATCGATCATCAACC